AGGATCAGCTTTGCACCCCGAAGTAGCTGAATTAGCGAGGCGAGATGCGGTCCCGAAACAAGTGAATTTATGAACTCACGCGAGGCGCGGTGAGCCTAGATTGGTTTGCCAAATTGTTGTAATTTAGGCAGAGATATATATATATATATGCTCATATATATATATATAGCAGTCTATCCATCCATGATTCTCTCTCTCTCTCTCTGTCGATTCGTCTATCTATCCATCTATTTATCTAGTTATCCATCCATCGACCTGTCCGCCTTCGTATGTATTTTCGCTGCTGTCTATCTATGCCCAAGTGTCACATCGAACTATACATACATACCTGCTTATGTACATACGCGTCAGCGGGATATATATATATATATGTATGTATGTATGTATGTATGTATATATAAAATACTATTAGATAGAGAGAGAGAGAGAGAGAGAGAGAATGAGCGTGTTGACAGACAGCCTACGATTCTGAATCCCAAGACCTGGAGCCGTTTAACGCAGGCCGTCATCATCGTGATCATCCTCTCCTGTCTGCCACACGTCTAGAAAGGGTTTAGGGTTTAAGGTTTAGGGTTTGGGGTCAAGCTTTAGGGTTTAGGGTTTAGGGACTCAAAAACCCGAGAAGACTCCAGCCTTATGGGTTGACCGTTCAAGGCTTATGCGGTTTAGGGTTTAGGGTTCAGGGTTTAGGGTTCTGGGTCCGATCCTGCAGCCTCAATAGGGGTGCCCGATGTTGTTACCATGAGTTCTAGTAGGTAGATGCTCATAAATTCAGCCAGAGACCCCAAGACCCAAGATTCGAGGGTTTCGCGCTCAGTGTTCAGCATTCAATGCTCGGGATGTTAGCGTTTCGGGCGTAGGGTTCAGGGTTAAGCGGTTATGTGCTTCGTAGACTGTTGCGGATAGGGCTGAGACAGCCCGATGCCGTGATGCGCGAAGTTGCTTTAAACGGCATCGCGAGAAGCCCCAGATACACGAGTAGCCCTTGCATAAGTATCATAGATGGGGTGATCCGTCCCCAATTGTGTTCCCTAATTATGACCTACCTACATAGTTTCCGTGTAGCAAACACCGTCCAAGTGCCAAAATGGCAAGGTTGTACACGGGCTTGGGGACACACCTGAACCCCTCCACCCTAAACTTGAGAACCTGAACATCCTTCCCGCAAACAAATCTGAACCCCTCTGTCATAAGCACTCTCTTAACATTGAAGAGAAGCAAAAACAAATATAATTGCCCTAAACCGCCTAAACCCTAAACCCTAAACTCCTAAAGCCGACGCTTCTTCGAGGCCTCTGTTGGGAGCTCAGATCGGAAAGATCAGTGGCACGTTGAACCTGCTCACAGAGAAGGCATCGGGGTTAGGGTTTAGGGTTTAGGGTTTTAGGGTGTTAGGGTTTAGGCATCGGCTTTATGGAGTCAGAGAGGAAAAAACAGGTAGGGCTTTAAGGGTTTAGGGTTGAAGGTTGAGGGTTTTGGGTTTAGGGTGTAATAGGCTCACAGAGAAGGCATTTGGCTTTGTGGAGTCCGGGAAGAACTTCTTAGGTAGGGTTTTAGGGTTTAGGGTTTAGGGTTTAGGTTTAGGGTTTAGGGTTTAGGGCTCCGGTTTTTTGGTTTGGTTTTCAGATTCATTATGTTTTTGAAGCCGTGTTTTAGGGTTGCCTTTTTGAGGGGGTTCAGGTTTTCTTGGAAGGGGTGGAAAAGGGGGGTACAGTGGTTTATGGGCTGAGGGTTGTTTTCGGGCATGGTTGGCTTCTTCGGCTTTATGGCTTCAGGGCTTAGCTGTCTGGGTTTATAACTTCCATGTTGTAGATTTTTAGTGCTCGATGAGTAAGAGTGTAAGTCAACCCTAAACACTAAGCCCTAAACCCCAAACCCCAAACCATAAACTCTAAACCCTCAACCCTAAACCCCAAACGCTCAACCTTAAACCCTAAACTCTCAACCCTAAGCCCTAAACCCTAAACCCCAAACCCTCAACCTTAAACCCTAAACCCGAAGCTGTTGAACCAGGCACCACACCGGTGCTCACCAGATGCCCAGCCGGCGACAGCTCTGCCCAGTTCGTGGTACTGGGTGCATGGCAAAACTCTCTCCGGTGTGGGTGCCGACATCACCCTATGGCGATTCTCCTTATGGCAATATAGCCGTTGATGCCTTTGCGGTTCAGGTGGAGGCGCCAAAGCCAGCAGCAAGCACCGTTGCTGCTGAGAAGGTGCATGGCTACTAACTACGACTACTGACTACTGACTACTGACTACTGACTACCTACCTACCTACCTACCTACCTACCTACCTACCTACCTACCTACCTACCTTGCTACTGCTACTGCTACTGCTACTGCTACTGCTACTGCTACTGCTACTGCTACTGCTACTACTACTACTACTAC